CAAGAACTCAAAAAACTTAACACCAAAATAATAATAATAATAACAACAACAAGCCAATCAATAAATGGGCAAAGGAACTGAAAAAGCACTTCACATAAGAAGAAATAGTTAGTCAACAGATGGATGAAAAAATATTCAACATCTCTAGCAATTAGAGGAATGCAAATTAAAACTAAACTGAGATTTCATCTCTCACTCCAGTCAGAATAGCAATTATCAATAATACAAATAACAACAAATGTTGGCAAAGATGTAGGGGAAAGGTACATTCATACATTGCTAATGAGAATGCAAGTTAGTGCAACCACTCTGCAAAGCAGTATGGAGATTTCTCAGAAAACTTGGAATGGAACCAACATTTGACCCAGTTATCCCACTCCTTGGTATATACCCAAAGGACTTAAAAATCAGCATATTATAGTGGATATCAATGTCCATAGCAGCTCAATTCACAATAGCTAAGCTATGAACAAACCTAGGTGCTCTTTAACAGATGTAAGAATAAAGAAAATGTGATATATACATACAATGGGATATTACTCAGCCATAAAGAAGAATGGAATTATGGTGTTTGTGGTAAATGGATAGATCTAGAGACTATCATGGTATGAAAAAAGCCAGTCCCAAAAAATCAAAGGCTGAATGTTCTCTCTGATATGCAGATGCTTACTCTCAATGGGGGTTAGGGGGAATGGAGTTTCACCAGATTGGGGGCAGGGGCAGGAATGAGAATGGAAAATATAGTAGAATGAATCGGACATAACTTTTCTATGTTCATATATGAATATACAACCAGTGTAACTCCACATCCTGTTCAACCACAAGAATGGGAAGTTATGCTCCATGTTTACATGATATGCCAAAATACATTTTACTGTCATGTGTAACTAAAGAGAACAAGCAAAAAATTAAAAAAAAAAAAAAAAAGACTCAGGGCTGGGTTGTCGTTCAGTGGTAAAGTGCTTGCCTAGCATGTGTGAGGCACATAAAAAATAAAGTTATTGTGACTATCTACAACTAAAAAAAAAA